GACCTGAATTGAGAGCGTTGGCAACGTTTTTGGGATGATAAACGTAAAGAGATGTAGCTATTTCGAGCACATTTTATAGCGTACTGTGTGTAAAAGAGATAAAAAAAATCGTACAGCAGCAGGGTGTTGTAAAAGATTTAAAACCCTTTAATCATTTTGAAAATGACAAAAAAGGAATTGTGTTAAAAAAGAACTTGTTGCCGCTATTTACAGTACTTTATGATAATACATGTAACATGGCTATAGCAATAGTACAAGTAAGATATATGATAAAGTAAGAATTTATTCAGCCAATAAAAATATTTTAATATAAATATCAGCAATTGTTATCCTTTGAGAGATAAAACTAAGATAAAACACTGGACAATAAAAAATTATGAACTAGGCCTAAAAGTGGAATTAAAGAGAGACAAAAAACTACTTCAAACCGCTTATGGCCCTCAGAAGTCTACTGTTGCTGGATAAAAATTTAAAAAGAGAACTTTCTGGGTGGGTGGGGTCCCCATAATTCATTTTGTTGTTTTCTTTATTCTGACTTTAATAATACCATCCAGTTGGGGGAGATCTCTTCCAATTATTTTACTGGCAATGTTTATAACGTTGGGGTGTTTTCCTCATTCCTCCACTGTAGCCACCAGATGCATTAAACGTTAAACACTCTCAATATATACAATATAAAGTTCATCAAAACGGGCTCATAATCTGTAAAAGTTGCAAGTGATCTAGAAGACCATTTTTGTCTAAAGCAAGTTTACTTTTCAAGTGAATTTCTAGGAGTTTGAACGATACATCTATTGTATTTAAACATGAACATACTAGAATATAAAACTGAAAGTGAAGTTATCAGTAATTGAACCGCATGGTAGGGTACATGTGTGTGAGTATGAATGTTTATGTATGTATTTGAATATAGTTAAAAGTTTGTACCATGTACTGTTTATTTCTTTGGTCTGATAGAAGAAATTAAAAAAAGAATTTTATAAAAAAAAATTAATTAATAGATTCCCATTGGGTATTTTGTTACCAGTTAAAGCCACTTTTTATTTCCCTGAGATGTGTGAAATGTCCATATTATTTAGCGTGATCCATGAAGCACCTAATTCCTGTGGCTCGTAAATGCGGCTTTCTATTCTTTGCCCTTCGTGATTTAAAGCCTTATACCCCGGAATTCGTAATTTTCAGGATTTTCAACTAGCATTGTCAGTGAGATATGCATAAAGTCTTGTTTACTGTGATTTATACATTAATGATTTTATTTCCCGTCAACTGTGATCACCCCTCCCTATTGCTACCCTCAATTAAGAAAAAAAAGAAAAAACAAAACTCATTTGATTACAAAAATTAATATTTTATTGTAAAATTTAGAGAATGACAATTTGCAGTTTTTAGACTGGCTTCTACAGAGGCAATTAAAGTTCTGCACTGACAACCCTTAAAAATAAAAGATTAAATTTTAAAATATAATTCAGTTAAAATGTGTATTCAGTTAGGTGTAAATAGATGTTGACAGTAACTCTACAACCACCAGCTCCTGGCTGCTGTGATATAATTAATTTACTGCTTTAATTTACAGTTTTACCAGCTGTTTGACATAGTTTTCCTCTACAAAAATGAAAGCTTACTTAGTTATGATACCATCAAAACAAAGAGACAAACAAAAAGAACTTCTCTGTAAATGTATAATAAATGTATTCTTTTAAAAATACTGTTGACTTTTACTTCATTTCTTAATGTCTGAAGTGTTTAGAATTATTTAATTAATAATAATAATAATAATAATAATAATAATAATAACCATTTATGTTCGAGCCCTCCGTCTGAAGCAAGACATGAACAAATTCAATACCCTCCTCCACCTAGATTGGCGGCGATTCTTTGGAGCTGAAATGTATAATACAATATTACTTACTAAGAGGTAAAAGTATAAAATGTTCAATAAGTCAGTGCAATATCATATTTCATGTATGAAGCTTCAATGAAACACTTTTACTAGTATTTGGAATAAACAATTCTGCCAATATTATTTTAAACTTGCCAAAAGCACAAACTGTGTTGGCACAACATAAGGAGTGTATGTGTGTGTGTGCGCATGTGTGTACATGCACAATCACATTCTATCAGTGTAATAGATTTTGACCCTACTATTCTATTGGCCCTACTGTCTTACCTCTTTCCTTCATGTCTGCTTTCACAGTTGTTGTGTCATTGATACTGACTGAAGAAAAACAGGAAAACAAATTAAACATTTCATACCTGTGCACAACAAGAATTCAATACATTACTTAACATAGTCGAAGACCCATTCAAAGATATAGATCACTGAACAGTGTATTTGAACTCAGTGTTTGTGCGTCAGAGTCCCCCCCGTAAAGTCCATCTGTGTGTTTACATT